TTTTAATCTCTAAATATAAAAGTATTTATATATCTTTTCATTTAAGAAAGTATATTTAAAATAAAAATAGATAATAATAAATTAAATTTTATTTTATTTTGTTAAATTAGAACAGAAAAATAATCACAACATTTTATAATCATAAAATATATTTTTAAAATAGATTTTTTTTAAAAAAATCATTGTTTTTCTTAATTTACTTTCAAAAAATCTATTTTAATGGGTAATCCGGCACTGACTTTTCTGCAATATAAATAAAAAGTCATAAGAAATTTAAAGCTTGTTTAGTGTAGTACCTAGTAGTGCAGCTCATATCCTCATGATATCCATTAGAGTGATTATTGGCACTGTCTTCCTCGTAGGTGGTCCTTCTTCCATTCGTCGTTATTGATTCAGTATTATTGAGTAGATCTGGAATGGGATCTTTCTTGCTACTGAGATCACTGCTTTGGGATTCTTTTGGTTTTGAAGTTTCGTTGGATGCCATTTTATTTCTGGTACGAGCCATAATTTGTTCCACCCTCTGTAAAATGTATATACATTCAGAATTCAAATTAGAAATACTTTCGACTAAACCAGGGTGCATAGCCATCTCTTTCCACAAATAATAAGCACATTTTAAGTACTTTTTAAGCACAATATATATTAACAAAATGGAAAATAATTTTCAAAGCTTTTACATGATCACGATAAAATAACTAGTTTCTGACAAAGAACCTTTCTCTTGATTATATCAGCCACTGTAAAAAGATTGAGAGATTTTTCGGTTCGAAAAATGAGGGTGGAAAAAGAAGCCTGAAATTGAGAATATCTAGCAAAATGCAGTAGAGTAACACATGAGAGTGCTAGAATCTCACAGAACTCAGCTCGGTCGTCGTGCGTGAGCAAGAATTGATAAAACATGTAAAATGATTGCCTCTTTCATATGCTATGGGCCGACGATACACCGAAATAGACTGTGGTTGAATAAATTGTGAAAACCACGCTTTTGCATAGTGCATGCCAAAAATCGACATGGTAAAGAAAAAGTATCTTGTTCAAGGGAATATCAAACACTCTTCATAAACAGCCAATAAAAAAAAACAGGGTGGTCACTCAAATCAGGTACCAAATTTCCCTGATTTTTCCAGTAAAAATCTTAAAATTTCCAGGTAAGTGTTTTTTTTTCTGCTAAAGTGTAGTATAGGTACAAAAAAAGTGCCAATATTAGTGTATTAGTCAATATAATAGTGTAGTATTTCATTTACTGAAAATTACTTTAATTTTAATCTTATTGCTACAAATGTTATTTTTTTAATTAAACAGCTTCTTTAAATTTATATTGTCTTCTATTTCTTGTTGGAATAGTCAGATTAATATGTTTTATAACATTTTCCACCTTCTAAAAGTTAGTTAAAAAAATCATTCATTTTAACTATGCAACGTATATTAACAACAATGTAATACATTAACATCAATGTAATATAATAACAACAATACAAATAAAACTCATATTTAAGCAATATTTTCTTAAATTTAATCATTTAAAGGTCATGTAATAAAAAAAACTTTTAAATTCGCTGCTTTTATATACAATAAAAAAAAAATACTATTGAAAAAAAAATCACTGTACATTGAAAGGAAAAAAATAAATTTTTATTACTGTATTATTAGCCTATAACATATTTTTCTGGGCACAAGGAAAATTATAATAATAGGTTTATTTATTGCCTGCATAAAATTAAATAATATTTTTGTAGCAGACAATATTTATCGATATGCTTTTTATTTCTATTTAGTGGCATAGCTAGCAGTGAACAAGAAAGAGCATATGTCCCATTGTAGTATAAAAGATGGGCCAAATTTTTGGAAATTTTTTTTTATATGAATTCCAGAATAAATTTTTATTTCTTTTTAATACCAATTCCAGTTTCATTGACTAATTACAGGCCCAATAAATAGTTTTTATCCCATTTACCTAAAAATTGAATAGGATTGAATAGTTATTGTAGTAGTCTGCTATGCAAGTAAGTTCAATATTTTTTTTTCTTTACTCTAAAAAATAAACAAATAACTACAGAATGTTCTGAATTTTTTTTTTTCTTTAAATACATACATTTTTCAAGCTCTAAGCAAAATGATTGATTTAAAACGTTCTAAATGAAATTAAATTGTTACTAAAAAAATTAAAACTGAGATGCTTACCTCAAATAAATATATTAAATTAAATTTTAAAAAAATAGATTAAAACTTCATTGATTAATTTTAAGTTATAATATAAATAACTTAAATTACAGAACAGTTTCAAAAATTTTATTAGGTTACTGAGTTGAAATATATTATTGTAAATTAACCTTAAGGAATATTTATATTGCTTCTCTTCATATTTTACTTCATTTCATAAAGAAAAGGTGAAATAAGAAATGAAAATAAATAAAAACAAATGTAATGAAAAGAAAAGTAGTGGTGTCTGATTGAGTGGCGTGCAAAAATAATTAATTATTAATTTAAAATAAAAATAATTATATTAACGAAATCTTGCTTTAAACAGAAATTTGTTTTGATTACATTAAATCCTAGTGCTACAGTACAATTAATTATGTATTTTGGTGTTGCACTTAAAACATCAAAAGCGTATCTTGAGAATTTTTTTTTGTAAATTAAAATGAGAAATGTTTCTAAATATTTGTGCAAGATAACCTGTTTTGTTACGGTTTACTTTAATTATTATTATTTCCATTTTCTATTATTAGTGTGATTTTTTTTTAAAAAAAAAACTGTACTTTATTACAGATTCCCTTTTCACGGTTGAAAATTTCAAATGATGTTGCCATTCATTTAACAGCCTATGACTTATTGAAAACTGATATTTATAAGTTAAAAATCATTATTTCTAAATCTTAATTTTTTTTACTTAATATTAAGTTTAAAATTTTGGTCATCTGGTTGACCAACTTGAAACCTGTCCCTTGAACAAATAATGAATTAAGCCCACAGACTAAAAGAAGAGAATTTTGATGCAACAAAAGTATTGCTGAGTTGATAATATTTCAAGTTTGTTACAATAAATTTACGTCTAAATAAAAGTGGATATAACGGATGGTAAAATAATTTAAACTAAGAGAAAAATTCCAGCTTTTCTTTGACATTCCCTGATTTTTCCAAGTTTTTTATCCAAATTTCCCTGGCTTTTCCAGGTTTCTTCCAGTAAAAAAAAAATTCCCTGATAATTCCAGGTTTTCCAGGTGGGTGGCCACCCTGAAAAAAGCACCTTTAAGAGCTTTTAAGAAACGAAAATTGAAAATAAGCACCATTAAGCACTTTTTAAAAACGTTATGCACCATGTGGTACCATGGTTTTAATGACAATAGAAATGTATCATATAAATATCTTAAAAAAGCAGCATTTTGTTTCACTTTGTCAACACAGAAAACTACAAATTTTGTCTTAATTCTGCAATTTGGGTGTCAGCAGCAAAAACTTCTGATAAAATATCCTTGTTCAATTTTGTATTTAATTTTATATATTGAACCTGGTATGTTGCGAAAGATGTAAAAATGAACAAGAGTGAAATTTTGCAAAGAAAATATCTGGGAAGTTTTTACGCAAATTAAAATAAAGTGCCATTTTTTTTTACACATATTTAAAAATAATGAAGAGATTAGAGTATTAGACTGAGTCAAAAAGAAAATACTCTAATTTCTCATACAGTAGAGAACCATTTATCCGGTATCCAGAAAACCCNTGAGTCAAAAAGAAAATACTCTAATTTCTCATATTATCTGAAATATATCGGAATTTTTAAAAACCGTGTGAAAATTAATTTCAATAACTGCCAAAAAAATAAATATATATATATATTTGGAACACAACAAGGGTTTACATTACTGTGGGCATAATTGAGCTCGTCTAAATGTGATTATCTAAATACAGGGATAAAAAATTTTGGATTACTTTTTTTCGTTCAGCTCTTTCTTCTTCTTCCTTTCTAAGTTTTTCTTCAAGCTCAATTCTCTGTTTTTCAGCTTCTTCTCGAGCTTTTCTTTCGAGCTCTTCTCGCTCCGCCTTCTGCAAAAGCATGTTGCAATGCTTTAATATTAAGAAATAACCAAATTAAAGTATAAACAATTCATTCTTGACGGGTGATTAATCTTTCATTTATTATTTCAGCACCTACCTTTCATTAGAAATTTCATCAAAAGAGATTTTTAATTTAACACTACATTTCAAACCTAGCACACATCATATAAAAAAGATTTATCAGATGACATAAACAAGCATAGACAAAAAATTAACACAAAGCAAATCATTCGTGCAATAATTGTCCATAAAAAATAATATTACCCAGAAAAGATAGATTAAATATTAAAGAAAAGTAATTATAAAAAAATAATTATAAGAAATATGATTATAATAAGTCTACGCAGGTGAATACAAGTAAAGGACTCAACCATTACTTAAATATTAATTTCTGATCAATATTAATGTCTAACTTTCTTTTTACTTCATTTTTTAGAAAGGTACCTATTTTGTGAAAATTTAGACATAATTTGTGAAAATAAAAAATTATATTAAAATATCAACACAATATGGTAAAGTAAGACAATATTTTCAAAAATTGTTACTACAAATAAAAAGCATTTATGACTGGTAAATTTCTATACATTTTTCCTCACACATTCAAAAATAATTTTGCTATTGTAAAATTTTGGCCTTAAAATTGTATTCAAATTTAAAAATCCATAAAAATCATCGTTCATAGTTAAATTTCAACTTTAATTTAATAAAAGCATACATTTAACAGTACTAGCACTAAAAGTTATTATGAAAACATTTTTGACTAAGTCATACAAAATAAAATTCGACTGAGAAAAAAAAGTTTCATAGAAAATAATAAAGCTCTGTAAGAATAAATTTACAATAGTGTTTAAGATAATGTTTGAATGCTTAAAATAATGTTTGAATGTCAACTTCCTGTACAGTTTATGGGGGAGAGCCTCGTTGTTCCATTTTAAAAAATGCAGGGGAAAAAAAAAGTTCGATTTGATACAGCGTAAGCTACCGGTTAGGCTTACTACATTGCAATATCTGACCAAACACGCGGTGCCTTTTCGTAAAAGACAGCCGACGGAAAAGCTTTTCTTTTCCATAGATTGCAACGAAAACGGGCCTTGCCTTTTTTAACAGTATTTTGTGAAATTACCATTTTTTCTAAAGTTGAATTTGTGAAGGTACCGCTAAACGGTTGTAAATTTACCATGGGCAGAATGCAGATAATTTGAGTGATGACAGGCAGAAAAGTTTTCCAATATAGTAAACAAAAACCTTCATTTTTTCTGAAGTAATCAGTAGATGGGTACAAATCATAGGAGGGAAAACAGCTTCCAAACAAAGTTTTTTTTTAAAAAAAAAGCTGGTGGGAAATATACTTCCCTAGTCCTTATAAATAATAATAGTAAAAAGGAAGAACAATCTACTTGTCGCATTTCCTCTTCTTTTCGCCTCTGTTCCTCCATTTCTCGTTGTTGTTGTTCTTCAATGGCTTTCCTCAATTTCTCTTCTTCAAATTGTCGATGAATTGCAGCTAAGCGAATTTGTTCTTCTTCGACTCTTTTCTGTTCTGCTTCTTCTAATCTTATGCGTTCTTCTTCTTGCCTCCTTCACAAATAAAGTATAAATTTATGTTATTTCATTGTGTAACAATAACTGAGGTAGAAAAATTTAAAAAAAAAAATTCGTAGCAAACTACATAATTTAACAAGTGTAGTAACTATAATTATTTTTTTGAATAATGTAGTGATTACAAACTACTTTTGAAACAGTTTAAATTTGTCTATTTCTGAGAGATAGATTTTACAGAAGGATTCAATTTATACTCAAATAAAAAAAAAGTGTAAAATCGGAACAAAAAATGGTTTAGAACAGAGGTCGCCAAAGTGGTCTATATAGACCCCCAGGGGTCTATTTAACATAAGCGGGGGTCGAATGGGGGTCGATCCGAACCGGAAGGGTCGATTGTTCGAAGGATTATCAGTATTTTTCAGATATGTGACAATTAGAAATAATAGAAGACTTGGAAATATATACAGGTAATCTTCAAAAATTGAGCGACGATTTTAAACTGCGTTTTGTTGATTTGGAAAACATTTGACATCTCTGATTGGATTATTGTGCCATTTTCTGCTCAATTTGAAAACGTGGACATCAACCTGCAAGATGAGCTTGCTGAATTATTATGGGGATTTGAAGCAAAGACGCTTTTTAAAAATTTAACAATAAGCAAATTTTGGACAAATATAAATATAATGCAAAAATATGTAAGACTTTACGAAATAGCTCAGCCATTTATGATAGCATTTCCAAGTTCCTATATGGTTGAAGCCGGTTTCAGTCACGTAAATTCAATCTTAACTAAGAACAGAAATAAATTAAATGTGGAGTTTCGAGGGGATTTAAGATTAAAATTGACCAATTTTGAACCCAATATAACGAACCTTGCAGAAAAAAAAACACCAGGCACACCCATGTCATTGATTAAGAAGCAATAAATCCGTAGTTACTTTACTTATTATTTCTACTTACTTATAATTACTTATTATTTCATAAATATTAAGGTATTTATATTTCAACATTAATATATTTTTCATAAAACTATTGTTACACTATGTACTATTACTTTAATAAATGTTCAAAATCATAAAATAAATGTACAAACACAGTATCTAATAGAGTTTTATTTTAATTAACAGAAAATTACTTTTATGGGGGTCGATGGAGATTTCGAAAAATTATGTAGGGGTCGATGATCAAAAAAGTTTGGCAACCCCTGGTTTAGAACAATTGGCTTACATTAGAAATTTATAATTATTATTAGAACCATCAATTTATTCTAAACCATTTTTTTGGACATTCAACTTTTTAAGTCTTATTCAAGAAACTCTAGAAAATTAACAAACATATTAACCACACTTTCTTTAAAAAAGATTCAGTTGGTTTATTTATTTACATTATTGAGAGAGAGATTAAAAAAATACAAACTATTCAAATCAAGTGATTTGAATCATACCCTGTTAAAAATATACACTTTTGAAAAAAAAAGTACAAAAACATTCACATTAAAATTGCAATTTAAATTAATTAATTTAATTAAGAAAATCATTGATTTAAGTCAAATATATTTTTATAATTTATAAGTTTAATTTTTGAATATATTCTTCTGCATGTGATTTTTTTAATATCTTATTTTAGTGATATTGAAGGTTTTTATTCCCAGAGAAAAAAATTAGATGGGATAAGGCATATGATTTGTTATTTATTGTTTAAAATAGACAAATAATTAAAAAAGATAAAATAGGCCTTAAAGTAAAGTGAAACTTTTATATTATAACCTTTTTTCAGCAGACTGCAGAATAATTTGCTGTATAATAATAATAAGGATGGAACAGCACCATTTCAAAGCAGAAAAAAAAATGTATTTCGGAACAAATAAATTTGGTTTTAAAAGCAGATCAAATAATTATTATCAGAGCAGTAGAGTGCTTAAAAATTAAATTTTTGAACACATAAATTTATGTCATATTTAACAGAGCTGGAAAGAAAATGCTTTGTTAAACAATGTGACAGAAATCCAAGGAAAAAAAAAAAATTACTTAAATAAACATGATACTGAAAAAAAGTACATATGTTTCAGTAAAAAAAGAACAAATCAATAAAAACATTTAACATCAATTTAATGCAACAACGCTTTATTATAGGTTAAAAAAAATAGCCGAGAATAATTTGAACTTTCATGAATAAAGACATTTTTTTTTTATTACATGTGAAGAATTAGCTAAGCAAATAAAAATAATATTAAAAATAAGTCTCACATTCCAAAAGTAAATGAATCTTATTTGATAGAAAAATATTAATATAAAACAAAGAAGAAAAGTGAGTAGATTTTGTTAATAAAAACATTTATATTTTAAATTTAACAATAACTTAAAACAACTCAACAAAAATATTAATAAAACAAAGCATGTCTATTGGCATTCTCTTCCAACACTATTAATTACGGATATAACGCATTCGGCTGCGATTGTTTGGCCAATAATTCGGCAAAGTATTTTTAGTAAAAATATTTTCTGAAGTAGTTTTTGTTAATTTGAATAGATTAATAAAAGATCAATTAATCTAAAATAGTATTCCTTATTGTACATTAGTAGAAATAGTTTTACTTCTAAGAATGTACCAGGCCAAATATTCAGCAAAGTATGTATGTTATTGACAAAGTTTTTTTTTTAATAAATTAAATTAAGAATAATCAAAAATAGTATTTTTTTATCATACATTATTAGAAATAGTTAATTTCTAATATTCATCCGCTAGCAAATTTATGTTCTAAAAGACTAATAAGAAAGCGAAATATGAAGAATACTTGTTTTGAACTGCTGATTTTTTTTCATCATCAAGTCAATTTGGTTATTTTTTCAACACTTTTTGATATTTTCTGTTTTTATTATAGCACAGCATTTTGACGGAGCATTTCTCTATTCTTTTGTCACATTTTCCTTTACACTAAGACAGATAACGAAGAAACAGTGCTCTTAGAAAAAAAAATTTGTTTTTGTCGATTTTATCATGAGATAGCAGATAAAAGGGTTTCTACTAGACTTTTTTCTTAAAAAAATACAGTATAATTGGGAAACTGAGATGCTAAGCTTTAAAATTTTCTGTCAAAAGATCAATTTTTATTTTATCTGTTTCACTTTAGTACATAATCTTTTACTTTAATGATATTTTAGAGCGTTTTTGATAGACTATATTTTTTCAAAATATTTTCCCGGAAAATATTATTAATAAGCATTAAAGTTTTGTTTTAAGAATTAAGAGAATTTCCTTTTTTTAACGTCAGTTTTTATTCATCTTAAATATTTCTAATGGAAAATTATTATACCTTTCCCTTCAACCAATAATAGTTTTGATTAATTTTAAATAACTTATTTACAGATAAAAATTATATTTATTAATATTTTCTTCAGAAAAAATGAAGCTGTATGGCAATCAAGTATTTGGTATTCAATCGATTTTTGTTGTTGTTGTTGAATATTCTGCGTAATCACTATTACAGGGGTGATTGTGAGCCCAAATCAAAATTTCTGAAACTTTCTTGAGTAAAATCAGTGATGACGCAATTCAAAAAATTTGTCTTTATAAATTTAAATCATTGATATTTTCAAAACATGAAACTCTAATGACTTTTTTGTGTAGCCAAATTCCCAAAAGTTCAGCTTTTTCTTCCATAATTTCTAATTTTTTAAATCAGAAACAGCACTTAATGTAATAGCGACATCTTTTCTCTTTTTTTTTTCCTCTTTTTACCATAATTATATTTTCAAGCAAGTTAATAAAACAATTTTCGAGTTTTTTGTGTAGCCAAATTCCCAAAAAATCAGTTTTTTCATCCATAATTTCCAATTTTTTAAATCAGAAAACAGCACTTAATGCAATAATGACATGCTAATATCATTTCTCTTTTTACCATAATTATATTTTCCTGCCAGTTAATAAAACAATTGTGTAGCCAAATTCCCCAAAATTCAGCCTTTTCTGGTTTACCAGATTATTTATAATAATTATACAGATTATTATACATAACAGGGGTCTGTCTAGGTTTTTCTGAGAGGAACCTATTTTGTGAAAATTTAGACATAATTTGTAAAAAATTAAAAATTATATTTAAAAATCTACACAAAAATATGGATGTATCGTTTCTTAAGGGATACAAAAATAAAATTTTAAGAAAACGTATTTTGTGAAACTACCGTTTCACCTAAAATTGAATTTGTGAAGGTACCGCTAAATGGTAGTAAATTCGGCCTGGACAGACCCCTGTATAAGAATTTTTGTTATTATTTGTAATAACAAAAATTCTGAAATCACAGAAGTTTAAAAGATAATTTGCTCTAGAAATGATGTTTTTTCTTTCATTTTTTGAAAAAACATGCTCATTTTTAAAAAACAGAATAAAAACATTTTATATTTTAATCAAATATGACTATGAGTGGGGATTTTGTTACAGATTCAGATATTTAGAACACTATGAAATTGGGGGGAGAGGGTAAATTCCATTTTAAAAATTAGATTTCTCGACGACCTAAATCCATGACTTTTCATGATTTTTTTTTTTAAAAAATGGTTAAAATCATGACATTTCATGACTTTCCAGTTGCGGGGATACCCTTTTTGTAATTTGAGTACTTTTTAATTGTTATGGCATATTTACTTTGAATTGTTATTGAATACATCGCCTTCTGTGATTTGTACTATGAGTTCTTTACTTACTTTAGTTCTTCTAATCTTATCCGTTCTAATTCTGCCTCTTTTTCAGCCTGCTCTCTGGCTAATCTGCGCTTCTCAGCCAAAGCGATTCGTGCCTCTTCTTCCGAGGTTATCCGCACCTTCGTGTCTTTGCTTGTGCTATTTTCCATTTGAGTTTTATTTTCCATTGTCGACAACGGTGTCTCTCTAGATTTCAAATTCATTTCATTAGAAGTGCTCTGATTTGAAATCTGGGTTTCCTTCTCTACTTGAGAAGAGCTTTGATTTGTAATTTGTGTTTCCTTCTCTATTTGAGAAGAGCTTTGATTTGCAATTTGTGTTTCCTTTGCTGTTTGCAAAGAGCTCTGATTTGTAATTTGTGTTTCCTTTTCTGTTTGGTAAGAGCTTTGATTTATAATTTGTGTTTCCTTTGTCGTTTGAGAGGAAATTTCGACAGAGTCATTTCGGGCCGAAACATGCAATTGGTTTAAGATTTCTGAATCATCTTTTATTGTCTCTTTTATATTAGGGGAAGACACACTCATATCTGATAATGTATTCTTTACTTTTAACTCAACTTCAATGCTTTTTCTGCTTTGAGACACATTCTTACTGAGGTGTTGTTGTGTATCATCCATTTTGGTACCAGATGGCTTCTGAGCCTGCAATGAAAATTTTGTAAATTAATAAACATACAAATAATTTTGAATACAATCGAACTCAGATTTAACAAAAAAATCGAAAATATTTGGCAGATAGAATATTAAGACTATTTTTTAACGAGCCAACTCAGGTTTTAACACCTTAACGATCGGTTAACTTTCAAGAAAACGGTCATAAAAAAGCCTATTTTGCCAAATACACGTATTTGATTAGTGCTGATATCTAGTTTAAAAAAAACTATCTACAATTACCTTAAAAATATCCTGGTATTGCAAGAATATTTCATGACTTAACAAAGTTACTATTTTCTAAAAAAAAAAAGAAAAAAGAAAAAAGAAAAAAAAAACTAAATTTAAAAAAGCATTATAATAATATTCATTGAAATCATAGGCATGACTAAAACTGTCATACTCTGCNTTCATATTTATTGATTTTAAATTTAAAAAACAGAGTAAAGAAAGATTTGAAGCAATAAAATAGCTGAAAAAAATACAAAATGTGCGAAAATGCTTTCCATCTCTTAAATTTGTCCACCAGTGTGTATATTTGCACTTCAAAATTTTCAAAATTTTTAAGTAAAAAAAAAAGATTCATTGCGTTCATAAGCTTTTGTTCGCTGGCCACAAGTTGTCAAACCAATTTATGCTAAAAAACATAGCTCGGAGTACAGAAAAGTCTCCAAATAGTCTCCTTCACCTGAAAATAGTTGCTTTTTTAACCTTTTCAGACAAAAGAAGTTTCCGTAGTCGCCTCGGGCTAAAAATAGTTGCATTTTAGTGGCCTGTGGCAACCCTGCTTCCCAGACAAGCTGGGTGAGCCACTAATGTGCCATGGCAGCTCCCACATATGAGGAAAAAGTATGAGCTCTGGTATCAAAGCATGTGAGAAGCATAAAAAATGAGAAAGGTTTGTTAACTAAAAATAACATAAAAATTTATAATAAAATATAAATGGAAGAGAGAGATGTCATGTAAATACTTCCAAAAATGATTTAAAAAAATATATTTTCATAATAAAGTTACCCGAGTCTGTCTAGTTTTTTGGAGAGGTACCTATTTTGTGAAAATATAGACATAATTTGCGAAAATTAAAAATTATATTAAAAAATCAACACAAAAATAGGGTAAAGTAAGACAATATTTTCAAAAATTGTTACTACAAATAAAAGTCATTTATGACTGGTAAATTTCTATACATTTTTTCTCATATATTCAAAAACAATTTTGCTATCTTAAAATTTTGAACTTTGTATCCAAATTTAAAAATTCATAAAAATCATTGTCCATAGTTAAATTTCAAATTGACTTTAATAAAAACATGCATTTAACAGCACTAAAAGTTATTTACATTATAAAATTTTCTACTTGCTCATTCAGAAAAAAACTTCACCAGGAAAAAAAAAATTTCATCAAAAAAATAAAGATCAGTTAGAATAAATTTACAATAATGTTTGACTTCCTGTAAAGTTGATAGAGGGAGAGCCTTATTGTTTCATTTGAAAAAACTCAGCATAATTCACCCGGGATGAATCGTTTATTTATTATTTTTTTACGGGGATACAAAAACAAAATTTTAAGAGCAGGGATCAGATTGGCCAAAAGGCAAAAAAGCTGAATTTTCAAACTAGTAAATCTCACGTGATTTATAGCAAAACTATCAGCAACATACTCGCATCGAGTTTTGCTGATGTTGTAATGCCTACATATAGCAAGAATCGTCGATAGAAAAACTGCCACATTTATAGTAACTAATTCAAGAAAAAAACCTACTTTTTACAAGAATCGCGATAAAGGATTTTAAAAATGCGTGAATACAAATAGCGATTTAGAATTTTAAAGTCACGTGAATATAAATCCCGATATTAAAATCACATGAATGAAACTCGATATTGGATTTCAAAAATGTGAAAATACAAATAATGATGGGTAATTTTCAGATCACGTAAATACAAACTACGATGCATAATTTCTAAATGGAGTGAAAACGAATCCAAAGCCTGATTTTTAAATACGAAAATAGTTGTTGATATTACAACCGTAAAAACGAACAACGACATTCGATAAACTCGTGTGAATACGAATCGCTACATAGAATTTTAAAAATGCCTCAATACAAATCTCATAAATAAGAATTGCAACGAACGATATTGAAATTGGGTGAATAAAAATCATAACATGCAACTTTTAAATCAGGTAAATACGCAAATACGAGCGATCTAGGAGTTGGGTAAAAATGAGAAAAATCTTATTTTCTGCTCTGAAAAGCTAATAGCTGAAATAAGTAGATATGCGGAAGGGTTGGCAGCTATGTAGTTTGAATTTTCTATATATCTTTCAATATATTATCAGGGTGCGTAGCCAAATCCTTGAATCAAAAATAAGCACTTTTTAAAAACTTTTCAAGCACTTTACAAAAAATTTCAAGCACTCAAAAAATTCATATTCAATCAATGATATTGAAAAACAGAAACTTTTTATAAAGAGTTTTAACGTTAAAAAAAACCCAAAAAGAAACGGACGTAAATCAAAACAATCAGTACTTTCCCACATCACCGAGTGAATTCAACTTCACCCTGAACTCAGAACAAAAGTACCCTTACCCCCTACGTCAAAAAAGTGTTAGAAGTAAAATAAAATAAACAAGAATAAAATTAAATTAAATTAAAAAGAAAAACATTTCATAAGGATCTGATATTCTCTATCCGAATTAGAGCGAATTAGTTTTGGTTTTAAGTGTGCGCGCATGCGTAAGTCATAACGTGGGTACGACATGAAGTCCGCGTGAATGATTACGTAGCAAACACCCCATTTTTCGTGAAATGCGTGGGATCCATCAGATATCACTGAAGAAAAAAAATATTAATTGTGGAAAAAAAGCACTTTTTAAGAACACCAGCTGGAAAAAGCACCTTTAAAAGCTTCTAAAAACGAAATCCCCAAAAAAGCACCTTTAAGTACTTTTTACAAACGCTACGCGCCCTGATTATAATAAAATCGGAAATAGATATAATTATTTTATTTCAACTGCTGAGTTTTCAGTAAAAGAGGAATATATATATATATATATACACACACACTTTTAGAGAATCGGAGCTTCTGATAAAAAGCTGAAATTCGAGAGACAAAAGCGAAAAAGGTGGAAATGTGCTAAAAAGCGGAAAAATCTCATCCTTGTAAGAGGCAGAGAGAGAAGAACTTACTTTTTTAAAAGTATTTTCCTAAAATTGAATTTGTGAAAGTGCCATAAACAGTAGTAAATTTGTCACTGGACAGACGGTTACCAAAATATGAGATGAATGCAAAATTTACCTTTCTTAAATTATCCTTTGTAGGTGGAGGATGTGATTTGGCTCTTGCTAACACAGTTGAGGACTTGGGAGGTGGAATTGGTTTTTTCTTCTTCACTTCTTCCCTATTCACTTTCATATTGCCAGATGCTGTTAACAAAAATAATAATAACATTTTCAGGCTATCTGCTAAATTTTAGATTATTTTCCAATTCATGACTTTCCATGATTAATTCCAAGAATTTTTCATGACTTAACAAAGTGCCTATTTTCTCTGACAAAAACACAACACTAAATTTAAAAAAGCATTATAATAACATTCATTGAAATGGCAGGGATAACCAAAAACTGTTGTACTCTTTTGAAAGAACACCATAATTTTTAAAGAAAACGATAAAAACATTTTATATTTTAAATAAATATGACTGTGGGTGGGGATTTTGTGACACATTCAGAACACCATGAAATATGGAGAGGGGGTACATTCCATTTTAAAAATAAGATTTTTCGGCGACCTGAATCCAAGTCTTTTCATGATTTTTTTTAAAAAAATAGTTAAAATCATGACAAATTTTGTTCAATACTGAAATTCATGACTTTCCAGGTGCGTGGATACCCTGCATTTTGCTAAACTTTTATGATTTAAATTGTTTTGAAAAATACTAAATTGCACGAAAAGAGAATTGGTTTGGATGGCTAATATCTAAATAAATTTATATAAAATGTTTATTGTCATTTTTAAAACACTATTTTCATGTTGATAGACAATAGTAGGAAACGACCACTTTAGTCTTTAAATTACACAAAAAAATGAGCTACAGTAAAACCTAGCTAAAACAATATTTTGGGGAGCCAATAAATATAGTGTTGCACAGGGATATATCCAGGGCCTACATATTTTGGGGACACAATAAAATTTTCCTTTATAATTTTAATGTTATATATGTATTCACATAGTACGCAAAAAATTTATTTGTAGAGTGTTAATTACTGTTCCAATATTAAAAATAATTGAAATAAATTCCGAAAATAAAATCGTAAACATACCTGAAAACCGTTTTTATTTAAAATAATTCGATATTTTTGTTTGTTTATTCATTCTTCTGACTGCCAAGTCAACCAACAAAGTATGCATTGAGTTCAAATTAGGTAAATGATTTTTGTTTGTGAATGGTGCTCCCTCTATGTTTCAGGTGTTAATGTGGTGTCATTTATGACTCAGCTTTTAACATGAAGGAAATAAAATCAGATGTTACATCTGTGACTTCTTAACGAGGCCATTCTAAGAATGGAAGCTCTTGGGATGGTCAGCAGTGAGTCTTTTCATAGAAAAATGGCAAAAGTGATAAAATAAAAATTTTTACGTTATTATGAAAACCAATAATAAATGACGAAAATAAGGTTGAAATTTGGAAGAAATCGTATTACAGAGGTTTATTGAGAGAGGAATAACATTAATACATATGAAATTTCGTTGGGACCACGAAACATTATAGCAATAGAGGGAGTTATTGTTGTATCGGACATTGTAGTAGTGAGAGTTCACTGTATTTTAATTCATTTTAGTCCACTTTTATGATTTAAATTGTTTTAAAAAATACAAAATTGCATAAAAGAAGACTCGGCCTGGATGGCTAATGTCTTTAAACCACTATTTTTAGGTTGATAGAAAATAGTAGGAAGCGACCCATTTAGTTTTTAAATTACACGGAAGAATAAACTACAGTCTAGCGAAACTTCGAGGGACCGAAATTTCGGTTCCGGACTATAACCGGGAGTTCCCTCTATCCGTACTGCAAACAATTTTAACTCATTTTTCCATCCCTTTTATGACACATTATTTAAATAAATGACCGATAAATAGAAATACAAAAATGATTCAAAGACAATATATTGAAACATAAAATGTGTTCATTTTTATTTTTTATGACTCTTTGTCTTGCTTACAAATAATTTAGGGGAGGGGGGCTTTATTTATGTATGGGAAACTGTGATAGAAGAAGCAAACAACAAAATATGCTTATGGGTACATTCTACTCAATAGATGGTTTTAAAAATCGGTATATGTATTTTATACAGAAATTTCAAAATTACCAAAAAATGAAGAAAAAAATAAGTTGAAGACAGAAAAAAGTTTATAATATCCAAATTTCTTATCTTCTTTTGGTTCACTGTATCCACAAAAAATATTTTCAGTGCATAGCAAGACACGGGAGCGAACATTTCGTTCACTATAAACCATGTTCACTATATTTAGTTTTTGAGTTACACAAGGGCAGAACACTGAAATTACAAATTTGAGCTGCTATTCACGTAAAGTTTTTTTTTTTTATACAAAAATAACCTTTCACCTAAAAAATAGAGAGATTAGTAAAACTTGGGTTGAGACACAAAAATCAGGGGATTCCTTAAAAAGCAGAAATAGTTTGCAACGATAGAAAATCTGAGCATTAAGCAGTTCAGAAGAGTAACAAACAGTACTTAATCAAAGTAAACCAGTTCATCTACAGGGTTGCCACTCAAAACTGGAAGAAAAAAAATTCCCTGTACGTACTATACTCAAAAAGAAAGCGGGTGGGTGACCACTTGGATCAGTCTGCGTAGGGACCGAGGGAGCGCGGTATGGGTCCTTGTTAAACTGTTCTACCGTAAAGTGCTCGACTTCGCGTGCAGGTCGTCGGGCTACCGAAGTAGGAGTGCCATCCCCTCTGCAGAGGGGATGGCACTCCTACTTCCTTTCCAAAATTGTGATGACATGTCTTCGGATCATCCTCAGGGATGTTTCCCAGACCGTCGCCAATAGCCCATTGTGCAGCTCTAGTGCGACGTAAATTAACAACAACAAAACTCCCTGAATTTTCCAGGTTTTCCCTGTGGAGTGGAAACCCAGATATAGAATAAATTTCAAAAATATGGGCTTTTTAGTAGTTCAAAATAAAAATAAAGCCAACATTTTATTTAAAGAAAATCAGAACATTTATTGATACAACACACAAACTAGATCAATTTAAAGAAGAGTTTAAAAAAAATAGTGTGATCAAATTTTTTTGAAAATTTCATTTAGTATGGCATATTTGTTTAACTGTTCTTTCAAAAAATATGGGCTTCCCTCTATCCCTTCAAATAGGGGGGGGGGGGAATGCCTGCCGCCTCCACGTGGTGCCCCCTGGATATCCCTCACTGGGTAACTAAATGGCAGACAAACAAACATGATGAGCACAAGTAAAGCTTATGATACGGCATCATCCGCCGCGCCGGTAAACAAGGGATGCGTTCAGGAATTAGGCAGAGGTTCCTGTTCGAAGAATTCTTTACAATCTCCAGTAGCACATGGTAAGACCTCGGGTGAATCCAGTGCTAATACCACTGCTTTGCAGCTTACTTTGAAAACCAGTGAGGCGTCCGAAGGTGCAGGCCCTTCCTCTGTAGGAGTCTCAGGTCCCCAAAGGCACTCGGGGGACAGTGTGTGTGGCGCCACTGGATTGTCCAAAAGCCGGAAGAAAAAGCTAAGGAAATTGAGGGCCACTGAAGCGAGAAGCGGAGCTAAGAGACCTAGGTCTTCTGATGCAACGCCTTCACCCAATGTGCCAACCCATACAGGAAAGAAGCCCAGGGAGGATGTTGTTCCTGGGAGGAAAGCCCAATCCAGGAAAGTGGTTCCTCCTAATGGGGATAGTGGAACTTGAGAGGGGGATCCAACTGGGAGCCTCCAATCTGGAGTTTCTTTTGCATGCGCTGCAAAGTCTATCAAGATTGCCATCGTTTGGAAGGACTTTCCTTCGGACAGGCTTTCTCTTAAAGACTCTGATGAAATACTAGAAGAGAACCTAGCGCAGACTGACGCCATCCCTGGTGGTGAAAGGATGCCTGAGATCTAAAGTAACAACCATCTCAGAGGAGCGTTGGTACTGGAGTGTAATGAGTACACTGTAGAGTGGATTAAAGGCTACTTTAATAACAGATCCTTTAATTTACAGATCCTGCAGAATTATATTCTTAAGATACTTTTTTTGCTCATTTGAAAGAAAAATACCCCTGATTTTTCTGCTCTCATTTCCGAATAAAAAAATTTTTGCCAATGAATGGCTTGCTTCAGCTAGAATTTTAAATTGATAAAATAAAAAAATTATTCTGAAATCACAGAAGTTTAAAAGATGATTTCCTCCAGAAAGGTTTTTCTATCATTTTTTTGAAAGAACACCATAACTTTTAAAGAACATGATAAAAAAATTTTATATTGTAAAAAAATATGACTGTAAGTGGGAATTTTGTTATAAATTCAGATATTCGGAACACCAAAAAAATGGAGGGGGTACATTCCATTTTAAAAATAAAATATTTCGGTGCGCAGATACCCTGCATTTATCTCCGTTCTTTGCAGAGATAAGGCAAGGTGACAGGAGAGAGACTGATTCTTTAGTAGTGAAATAGCTTAATAATATTTCCAGTTATGGATTAAGCCAAAATTTTGTATGCTTTAAAAATGGTGAAAAGTTGATTTTTTTTTCTTCCTGCAATTTAAAACAGAATTTTTTTTCTTTTTCCAAATTTAGATTAGGTAGTGTTTGGTTTCAAGAGATAGAAAATAACGTTTCAGATCAAAAGCAGCTATATCGTCTGGTTACAGGAGTGTCCGCTTTGAGGAGAATGTACATAACGGTTTATTCATAGAATAATCAAGGGGGGTTTAAAAATATGTCCTTATTGAGAGGAGTCCATTTTGCACGAGTGTCCATAACAGGAGGTTTCTCTGTATTTGAATTACCAATTACTAACAGCATTCTAACTTTTAAAATTAAATACTGTTAAACATGGAAACCAACTCTCAAATAATATGTAGAAAATAATGTATGAAACTAAAGTGAAACATGTATGACAGTTTTTAATTTTTGTGATACAGCTTTTATGATGGGGGTGCTTCGTTCAATCTTAAGTGTATAGTGCAGGGATGGGCAAACTACGGCCCGCCGGAAAGTTTTATCCGGCCCGCGGATAGAATTTGAACTTGCCAATCCGTGGCGAATATAAACAATATATATCCATTTTCTTGTGTACTTTGTACTACTATTTTCGTTCTTTCTTTTTTAGCAAAGTTATTGATGACTTTTTTACTTTCTCTACTTTCGTTCTACAAAGCATAAATTGATGAAGTTCTTTATAGAGTATCTGTAGATTGGCGCCATTTAAGGTAGTTGTATATAAGTTTACCAAAGTTTGAGTTTTACAAATCATTACCAAAAGCTAGTTTCCCAAATTTAATATTTCATGCCCAGAAAATGAGTGCTAGGTTTGCTTCATCTTATATATGTGAACAAGTGTTTGCGATGATGAACCTTAGAAAAAATCATTTCAGAAGTAGACTAATAGACAATCATTTAGCCTCGTTCCTTAAAATAAGTACATCTCACTTGGAAACTCAATATAAGGAACTTTTAAAAATGAAGTCACAATTTCATTCATCTTATTAAATATGTAAATTAAAACAGGTATATCATTTTTTTATTTTATTTTAGAAGTTTTTACCTGGCCTACCAAACTTTTTTTCTCTCGATTTTTTGCCCTCGCCCGAAAAAGTTTGCCCACCCCTGGTATAGTGGATATATTTTTGGCCGTATGAGATACATTCTATTTGGTTATGAAAGACAGATATTTATCTCAGAAAAATAAAATTATTTCAGCAAAATTGATTTACAATCTTTGTAAAACTTATTATAAAGAATATGGTCAGATTTTTTTTCAAATCATAAAATAAAAAGAAGGGGCTCCATGAAAGGGATGTGGAAATTCATTCCTCCCTAGAATTCAAAAAAGTAAAATTGAACGGTTGGGCCAAAGCCCCCAGTTCTAACTCCAAGAATTCAAAATAAAGTGAATTGTTAGAAGCATGGGAAGGTGATTTATTGAAACATAAATTAGAAAAAAACAAAACCTCCCATTTAATTTGAGAACAATTTGGGTATGGCTAATCGCTCAAAAGAATGTTAGATTTAGTATGACCCTGTAACTAAAATATTCTTGTGGTAAGAGAAATAAAGAGTTAAAAGTAGATTTCGATTGAGTCGCGTCAGTGAATGAATGAGTTTTACATTTTATGAAATTATGATTATTTTATCAATATACATTGATAAAATATCTATATTAGCTTGTTAAAAAATTTAATAAAAATTAAATAATGAGTTTAATTTAATTGAAATTCGATTCAGAATGATTAAAAATAAATTTTTAGAAATTTTAAAAGCTAGGAAATATGTAGAGCCTATTATGACATTGCAACACTAAATATAATTTGCTTCAAATTAAGCTACATACTTATTTCAAGACAATTGCTTTGGTAGGGTTGCCATAGAAAAAAAATGAACAAACTAGTTGCTTTTAGTAGCCTAAAGTACAAAAATAGTTGCCTAAGTAAGAACAAAATTTTTTCAATAATATTAGTACAATTTTATTAAATGACTTAGTTGTCATATAATATGATCCACTTAGTCAAGTTGGTTCCAAATATAATAATTCTATAAGCATTAGTGTTCTAGCAATACATTTCCTTCCAATAAAAAAAATTAGTATATTTAAGGAAAATTAAATATTTTAATAACTAGTATTCCCTCAAAAATACTTTATTACAAAAACATAATTTTTCTAAATGATTTTCCCTTTTTCAATAATTGATTTAAGATATATATCTACATATGTGAAAAGTGATAATTCAAATTCAAAAATCACACATCCTACATTATTAAAAATTGTGTTTTTTTTTTTAAATCCTGCAGAATTTCGTAGCAATAACCATTGAAAAGACAGACTTACAATGGAATATGTGCAAATTGAGAGCATTAAAAAGTGATAACTCAAATTTGCATTCAAAATTTCTTATTTTTTTAAGAAAAAAAAAAAATAAGGGTTATAATAATAAGGATAAAAAAATAAGGTGTTCAGGGTTATCAACTCAATTTACGCTTCAAAAAAATCATCATTAGGAGAACAGAAAAGTCTCCCAATAGTCTTTTTTTCCTGAAAATAGTTGCTTTATTAACCTTTTCAGGCAAAAAAAAAAGTTGCCATAGTTGCCTCAGGTTGAAAATAGTTGCATTTTAGTCACCTGTGGCAACCCTGCTTTGGTAATTTCTAGTTTCTTCCATTTCCCCCTCCAAATGAAATGCCAACCCTGAGTCAATAACACATTTATATTATCAGGAGTCTGTCTAGGTTTTTAAGAGAGGGCACCTATTTTGTAAAAATTTAGACATAATTTGTGAAAATTAAAAATTATATTAAAAAATCGACCCAAAAATAGGGTAAAGTAAGAAGATATTTTCAAAAATTGTCACTACAAATAAAAATTATTTATGACTGGTAAATTTCTATACATTTTTCGCCATATAGGGTAAACTAACAAGTGAAGGAACACTTAAGCTTCGCTTGTCTTTTAAAAAATCATATTAATTTCAAAATTCGTAATTTTAGTTAAATGACAGTGTCAACATATTTGTTACTAATTGCAAATTATGTAAAAAATAGCAGAGAACTTACATAATATTGTTTCAAAGTTTTGGAGGTTCAAATAACAAGTAGTAAGAAGACCCAGTGAAGGAACAGCTCTTACCAGTGAATGAACACCCAGTAAAGGAACACTTAATTTTGGTTATTTTTTAATACTCCTTACGAATTTATAAGCCATACAAATATTTAAAAACAAGCCTATTCTTGAAATTATAACATATAAATACTTGGAAAATGTTAACTTTTTTTTTGTAATCATGAATTGAAAATTAAAGTGTCAACATATTAACACATACTGCTCATTTACTGGGAAATCTATGCCCAGTAAAGGAACATGCACTGGTTGGTTTACCCATTCAAATATAATTTTGCTATTTTAAAATTTTGGGTTTAAAATTGCATCCAAATTTAAAAATCCATCAAAGTCATTGTCCATTGTTAAATTTCAACTTGAATTTTAAAAAAATATATATAAGTGCATTTAACAGTACTTGCACTTAAAAAGTCATTTTCTTTATGAGAACATTTCTCACGGGGTCATATAGAAAAAAGTTTCACAGAGAAAAAAATGTTTCATAAAAAAAATGAATTCCTATTAGAATAAATTTATAACAAGGTTGGAATGTGTAGAATAATGTCTGAATTTCAACTTCCTGTAAAATTTGCAGAACACCTTGTCGGTTAATTTAAAAAAATAAAAAAAAACTCTGTGAAAAAAATCTTGCTATAATATGGCTTAAGCAACGGGTTAGGCTTACCATACAGCACTATCTAACCAAGCACATGCTACTTACTTAGATTTGCGGAATAACCCGGGATTTATCGATTCTTACGGGGATACAGAAACAAAATTTTAAGAGGCGGGGAGGAGAATCTCAGAACTTGCTTTTTTAAAAACATTTTGTGAAACTACCGTTTTTTCCCTACAGTTGAATTTGTGAAGGTACCGCTAAAAGATAGTAAAATTTGTCATGGACACACCCCTGATTTTACATTACAAACACAAATAAAAAGAAGTAATCAAAAATACCGTTTTTATCAAGTGACTGACGCTCAAAATCTTTCTTAACCATTAAATGCACGGAACTGTCGGCTATTGAGCCGGCAACACTTATAGGCCTGGGTCTCCGGTAAGCAGAATGAGCTCTCAGTGAAACTGAGCTAGAGGTAGCACTGATGTCCGACGCTCCAGACATAGAACTCTGAGGACGAGTAGGGGATCGAGAAGCATCTTTACCTGAAAGAACAACTTACATTTGTAACCAAACTGAAAATCTTAAGAATGTTACTTCAAACATAAATTACAACTAAAAGAAATCATAGATTACTTTCAATTGTACTCAAAGTAATCAATAAGTATTAATTAGATTATTACAATAAATAGTAGTTTGCACAAAATAGAATAGCTTTTGATCTAGTGATTGGAACTTCAAATAAGAGGGCTCAATCTTAATGATTTGGGAGCCTGACCTCAAATATGCCAATTAACTGGGGTAGATGATATTTTTAATTACAAAATCGGACACAAAATCTATTTCCTCTAAATAAACATACTTTTTTTGACGAATTATGATTTTTTAGATCCCCAATATATGGAGAGAAGCCTCAATTTGAAAAATAGGATTCTAATAGTTTGGTCAGAAGAAAGTTTAGATCCCTTAATTTTTATTTCTGCATATTTCACTAAAACTTCGGATCTTTTTAAGCAAATCGAAAAATTTTACACAAAATTATAAAATCTGTTTATCCATAGATATTTCCAAGCAAAAAATAATTTTTTAAATTATTTTTTAACACTTCATTTAACAAAATAACGGTAAAAAAGAGGTTGAATTGTAAAGAAAATTTTTAACATCATTTTAAAGAATGCAATTTTATATGAAGAAATTTAAATAAAATCAGACAAATAGTTCTCGAAAAATTTAACTTTAAATATACGACTTTATTAAAATTTGGTAAATTCGAAACTAATAAACCAATTGTGATCATATTTTGACTTATAAAATTAAATTCTTTAAAATGGTGTAAAAATTTGTATACATTACAATTTAAATCTTTTTCGAAATTAGTAAAATGAATCATTAAAAAAATTATAAATCTCTATTAAAAATTATTTTTTGCATGAAACAATCTGTGGACGAACAAATTTGATACATTGTGTGTAAAAATTTTTCAATTTGCTTAACATTTTTTCTCCAGACATCAAACTATTAGTTATCTATCCAAACTATTCACCAGATTGTAGTTTTCCCCCACATTTTGAAGGTCAAAACTCCAAATCTGTAGGAAGAAAAAGTAAGTTTTTGAGTGTGATATTGTAACTTAAAATATTGACACTTATTGATTAGCATAGATGAGGTCAGGCCTTTGAACTATTAGGATTGAGTCCTAGCACGTGAAAACCTGATTATTGGATGAAAAGTTATTCAGAGGATTTAGTTTTTTATTTTTTGCACTAAAGTTTTTTTTCCATATTTTTTAAATTAAGTTCAATTCTATAAACAATAATTTCTTAATTATTTTTATTCATACGTGAACAGATAATAATAAAGCATATATCCAATATAAAAGTAAAGGCCGAGATTTTGATAACCATTTTTAAACCCTTTTTTTTTCTATTAGAGTATATTTTTTACGTTTTCAGGCCATTTTGTGATATTTTTTATCTTTCTTTTAAGGCTTTTTTTTTGTTGAGATTTTTGACTTTTTTTTTTCTTCATTATAGTTTGGTCATGTTAAGCATGATGAATTCACACAACACAAAAACTACATTGATGATTCATATATCTTTACATGATAAGAGAATTTTATTTTATTTGAAGGACATTCTTTGCTATTTTTAGGGCCATTTTTGCAATTTTTAAGAGCAGTTTTTACTATTCTTAGAAGCATCAGATCATAAAAACCCAGGCTCAACTAATAAGAGGGGTAATAGAGTTTTTATAGTATTATTTTTGACAAGCTTGGTCAAAATGGGCCGCCATAGCCCAAAATCCCCCCCTCCTGCCCCCCAAAAAAACATAAAACAAATTTTTTTCTCTAAATGATGTATTGTATTAGATCAACAAGTTTTACTTGAAAAGCAAAATAATCATAAATTAGAGTCCCTTGAATAAGTGTTCCGAATAGTTGAAGATAAATCAACTTGATACATAGTACATATAGGGGTTGGACAAAATAATGGAAACACTTTGATATTTCTCAAAAAAACTTAAAGAATCAGTTTAAAAACTCAAAAGTGCTTTTAAGTTTTAAAAATACGACTTTGTACGATAATGCAATTTCTGATAGATATCAATAAAGTATAAAGCCTTTTTAGGTTTGAGAGACCAACAAAAAATTACAAATGAAAAAAAAATTTTTTTTGAACACCCTATGCCAAAAAATGTAGTAATGAATTTGTAACTATTATTTTATTTATTATTATTTTAGATACTACATGTAATAATTGCACAAACTTTCGTAAACCCAACTTAAATATTTATGGAGACATGGACATTTTTATGAAGAAAAAAAGAAACAAATTTTTTTTTGTCTCAGGTGTTTTGCTACAACTTTGAAAATATTCAATAAAAATAAATGAAACTATCAGGACAATATAAAATTGATAGCAAAATTATTGCTTTAAAATTTGAGAAATATTCGTTAAAAACTGCACCAGAAAAACTGAGTAATTAAAGTAGTTCTTTTATGCTGCACATGTGCAAAAAAAAAAAAAAAAAAATACAAAACAATTTTCTTCATTTTGTAGTGAATTTGGCAACTGTCATACTTGGAATTGATTTAAGAGTATAAGGTTAAAATTTATTAATTAAATTATAATTTTACAAAATTATAATTAATTATTGTAGTTACACTTGGTGGGAAGTAAACTTGAAATATTTCCAGATTGTTAAGTGCTAATAACATCGATGAATTGTATTCCATTTATTTTTTATGATTTAATTGAAATTGTTTGATTCACTGAATTGTTTTAGATTTTTTTTCTCAGTTGGTATGCAGAAATGCAGGTGAGATTTTTAATTTTTTTATATTAAAAAAAGTATAAATTTTTTTTTTTGGGGGGGGGGGCGGGAGGGGAAATAACATTGAAAAATTATTAAATAGGCCAATCTTGCTAAATGCTTGCATAGGCCAAAATAATTTTTTTTTCTTCTAACAACGAAATAACTCCTTTATTAAGGTATATTAAAATTAATGATAAAAATTTGAATTAGAAATAGGCATGAGATTTTTCTTAATCATGTCATGTTAAATTAAGTTATATCCCTGGCAAATACAGGCCCTACTAATTTCTAAGCACCTTAAATATTTCTATTTTTCTTTTAATTAGGCTTAATTTAAAACTATTTAAACTCGTTGCAATAAATAGTTTTATATCTTGCATCTTGGGATATTTTAATTTAGTAAATTTAATTTTGTATGTAACAATGCGTTTGTCCTGAAGAAATAAAAATAATAGCGTAACAATCTAAAACTTCCCAATGAATGGTTACATTGTAACAAAAGCTATAAATAGTAACCAAATATTTAACTTTCTAGTTAGAAGCAAATCCTGCAACTTTATTAAGCATTCAAGAATAGAAATTTAGTATATTTCAAAAAAAAAAAACCAAAGACTAAGGCATTTCATTAAAAACCTGATAAAATCAGAGTTTTTAGTTAATAACACAGAGAGGTTAGACTTTTTAAAAAAAAGGGGAAAAAAAACTTTTTTTTTATTTTTTTAAACTATGATTTTTGATGAATTATTAGGTGCAGAACCTTAACTTTTCAGTTATAGTAAGAAAATTTAAATTTCTTAAAAACGAATATGAAATACTTTAATTACAAAACATGGCATTTTCACGATTAAAAACAAAGTAATAAAGTTATACTTGAACCAGGAAATTGATGTTAGTATCTTACACAAATTTCTAATTTAATTAATGCATTTTGACATGCTTGATTTGCAATGATTCTATAATAAATCCACTGCTCATTTGTTCCCTGGTTATTTTTCATACACTTCCCAAGATTTTTTTCCCTTTCAAATCCCAACATTTTTAACACGCTGTTACATGAATTTAATTTGAATTATCACTTTTTGACACATTCAGGTTGTTCCTCAATCGCTTTTCTTTTGAAGTTATTATAATTGCTATTTTTTCTAGACATTTCCATAGTTTTTCAAATGTTGACGTTTTTACAGGGTGCGTAGCCAAATTATTCACCAAAAAATAAGCACCTTTTAAGCACTCAAAAATATTTTTAAGCACTTTAGGAAAGTTTTTGACAATTAATGGTTTTATCTTGCTTTAACCGTCATGTAAAAAAAACCCCAACCTTTAGGCATTGGTTTTGACAATTGTCAAAAATCATGAAATTTTCAATCAAGTGAAACGAATGTTGTTTTCATACGCTACGGACTGACAATACGCCAATATAGATTGGGGTTGAATTAATTGTGAAAACGTGGAATAGAACAATGTGAACTGTGTCTTTTGGTATAATTCGAAGCGAAAATCAACATAGTGAAGGAAAAATATGATTTTGTAAAAGGGAAAATTAAGCACTTTCTAAAAACACCCAATGAAAAAAAAGTACCTTTAAGGGCTTTTAAAAAGTGAAAATCGAAAATAAGCACCTTTAAAAACGCTACGCACCCCGTTTTACAGCGATGTTATTAAAAGTGTTATCCAAAAATCATTGTATCGTGCCATACATTTTAGGCAAGCAGCCAACTCATTCTCATGTTCTGCTGGAATATAAGAAAGAGTTCCCACATGTGCATGCCTGTTTAGAATATCAAGGTATGAATTTTAACCACTGGGTTCATAAGGATTTCGTGATAAACCCACGCCATTTTCCGATCATTTTTCTTCTGTTATTTAGCGCTTTTAACCATTTTTAAAATTTTTAAGTAAGCCACATTAATTCGATACGTAAAGCTCGAATTTGAGTATTCCTTTTGAACATGCTTGATTCAAGGTGATTCTATCACATATCCAGGTCATTTGCTAATTGTTTTTACGCTAGCTATCGTTTTGCAGCCATTTACACGTGGTTTTGACACAATCAGTTTGCAATGATTCCATTGTACTTGTACGAAAAATTTTTTTTGCAATTATTATTTTTCAGCCTCTTTCGCAGTTTTACCAACGCTACTGTTTTTAATACAATGTTCAATCTTTTTTATTTTTTTTAAAATTTTTACAAAATTTTTCAAATTTCCCTACGACTAATAGAATATTATTA